CAAGGAACGAATTGGAAAAACAAACTGAAAAAGTATAAGTTTAGTTACTAATTTTTACATTTTCAAAGTGGTTTAAAATCAAGCTGAAACAGCCGTTCAAATTCACCTTCAGATCCCTGAAACTGCAACTAAATAACCACTGAAACCTTTCAAATGTCCAAATGTTGGCTTAATAGTCCTCTTGACTCCGTTTGTAATGGATACTTTGTGTACCTGCAAGTGTAAAAATAAACTCTGAATGTCAAGCAGAGACATCCAACCTGCGGGGAGACAAATGCGGGGGGAGCTCCTACAGCCATGTCCAGCTCCAACTGTGCACAATGAAGACTTTGATATGCAAAAACAACCCGCTTCATAGCGGTCCGTGTAGCCTGACAGTCCGTGTGTAACAGGAGCTGTGCCGCGGTGGCTTACAGCCTGCTAACGGCTCTAAACCAGGTGTCCGGTCATACCTGAGAAGTTGGTTTAAAGGATTTGGTCGTTTCAGTCGAGGTAATGCGAAGTGGCTAGTTCCCAGCGGCTGCAAACAGACAGAAACGCACAGCTGCGCTGTCAGTGAACGGGCCTAAGGTGAAAGCTACCCCACCAACAACAAAGGGTAGAGAGGCTGGGTGGAAGAAAAGCTCTTTTTTTCTTTTAAAGTCATTAAGTGGGTTTCTTAAAACGGCTTAAATGCGAACCACGTATTAAACAAAAAGATACAATAAGCTACTAGAACACGTAAAGCACGCATCTGGGGCAAAGCCCGTCTCTATTTGAATGCTAGAGGCCAAACAAAGTGTGCTCCGCTATGAGCTAGCACGCAGCTACAGCATGGCAGCATCACTGAAGCAGGTCAACAAAACAAGGCTGAGCTCCGGGAACAACAGCAGCGGCGCACACGACGAAGCTCTAACGTGTAACCGTTCGCGGGTCGCCGTTACCTGGCATTGTGCTCCTGCTGTGTGTCTCAACGCGTAGGGTAACACCAAGTTACTGTCAGTAAACTGCGAGCTCGTCGTGTCTTCTGTGGGGATTTCTCCGCGCTGCGATGCAACGTAGCTCCAGTCAGCTAAATCCTGTTAGCCACCTCGCTAACGTTAGAAAGCTGGGTCGGTTATGTGGTCTGATGAGGCGTTCATCTACTGCCAGGAATGTGGGAATTTGTACTCACACCAGACAAACTAGTAGATAAAAACTGAGGCGGGGTAAATAATGTAAATCCCATCACCACCAACGCTATTGGAGTTGACTACTGTTAATCTTACAATCTTCTTTACCACTTGATGAGAGCACAGATAGGATCAGTAGGAATGTAACAATGAGTACATTTGCTCATTTACTTTAATCAGCTTTAATGTACTTGTACTTTAAGTATTTCAATGCACTCTATATTGTGAGTGCAATTATTGCACTTCATACCCCATATACTATTTAATTTAGAAGCTTTAGTTGCTTATTATTTTGAAAATGAATTGCATTATTACAGCTCAAGCTACAGAGCAATAGAAATCTAATTAAAATGATCAACAGCTTTTAACATTAAAGAGATATACACATAAACAAATCAATAACTATAACCCAATAATTTCATGTATATGATTCTAAATGGTGCCGTTTGACATGAGTTAATTTGCTTAGGTGCAGCCTGTGTACTATTAAGCTTCTTAAATAGGAATATAAATCTTACTTAAGTTAAAAGTCTATAAATACTTTTTTTTCCACTTTGAAAAACAACTAATCATCACAAGATTATGTTTAAATTCTTATGCAGCTCCACTTTTCACTTTTCAACATAATAAATCTGCAAATGCAATAAATATGTTGCACATGAGCTTGAAAATTGTGATTTTGTAGTTGTATAAGTTATGTTAAAAAAAAGAGAGAAAAGGAATTGCATTGGTTCACTCCAATCCATAACACATAAATACCGCTGACTGCTTTCAACAAAACCTATAATGATGCTAGTAAATATATCTTTTAATACCATGGTAATGACTTCAGCTAAACTTTAGAGGTCTGAGTGCTGACGTCAGTGAGTAAACTGAGACATTCAGCACACATTGATCTCCATTTGAAACCAGTAACAAATGTAAGCAGGGATGCGGAGAGAAAAACAAAGCACCACCATAAAAACTGGTGTTTGTTTATCGTCCAAAAAACTATTTGCAGAAATGCAATAAAACAGATTGCTTCGCCTATCCAAGCAGCTACAACATCTGGTTAAATTCCACCACAGCGTTTCCATTCCTTTTCCCCCCAGAGGTTAATGGTGTGTGATTAGAGGATGAATGCCAAGACTGAACAGAATCCAGCTCGGATTCACTCTGAGCAGAAATACACAGTAAATCATGGAGCCTCTCTGCTCTGCTGTCAATCCTGAGAATGAAACAAGCAAATGTGAAGGGCGACTTGTTTTCAGCACATCGTACTGAGTGAACTGCCAGTGTCACGACAAGCTCCGGCATCTTTTCTTCTTTGGCCTGCTGTTCGTTATGCTAATTGAGTGACAGCAGCTGACAACAGTTAAAAAATGGTTCCAAAAATAAAAAAATGCATGTGGTTTTTTTTAATAAAAGTATGTGTAAACCACTTAGCCTGCCAATGAACAGAACATTAACAGGCATGCTGTAAAAGCAATTTAAATCCTTTATTATCAACAAATTCAATTCACATTTTTTTTAATAAAATTTTGTCAGGAAGCAGTGAAAAAAGGTACAAGTGTCACCACTGGGAAGATATTTGCAGTAGCCAGAGGATATATGTAAAAATGAAGTCAGCTTCCCCGAAATTATACATTTAAGGAGTAACAATTTAAATGAGAGGTAAACAGGTGAGAAAAGCGGTAAACTAAATGTAAAGTGCCCAAGGAATAGAAACACAAGGACAACAGGAATTCAGAGTGAATAAATGGCTGAAACAAAGGTTTGGCTCAAACTGCTAACAGTGTGGACAGCAGTACAAATATCTAATCAAATAAAAACTGATTAAATTTAGTAAAGGGAATGTGGGAGATGTTATATTTGTAAGCACCCACTTAAAATAAATTAGCCTGATGTAAGTGTGAAGAGTAGGAGATAAGGGATACAGGAGATATAGGGAGCAGTTGAAAGTAGTCTATAAATGGGATAAGTAACTGACAGTGTGTGTAATTAAAAGTAACTGATACACAGCTTTAAGTAATGAGTACTGTATATGCAAATGCAGTTTACACTCATTAAAAAATCTAAACATTAACAGTCTGATTGGGGGAGACAGTTTTAACAATATCTGCTGTAATTTAATCAAGTTAAACAGCATAAAGAAGAAGCTACAGATTATTTTAACCCCGGATGCCCTTCCAGATACAACCCAAAAAGGGATTCGCGTTTTCTCCTGGGAAACACAGTACACTTGTTAGGGAAATGTATAAACCCTACATGGAATTAGTTCCATTAGACATGAAAGGTGGTGTTGTTGCAGAGGTACGTGAGTCTTTGCGACATGATAGAGGAGCTATGTCTGATTTACATTTTTAAAAAAAGCACCACAACACTGAGATTCTACCTGCTAGTTCTATTTTGCTAGTCAGCATTGAGAGCTACAGTATAGATGGCAATCAAAAATCGGGCAGCACTTGAATGCAGCATGTGCACAAACATCTCGAGCTCCGTCACAGCACCTCTGTCTGTACTCCTGACTAACCCCAGAGACAAATGCCTGCGTGGCTCCGGAGAGAAACGCGCTTCTGGCGGTTCACTCCGGGAAGACACGCTTTAACTGACTTTTATGCGGCTCAAAATAATCTAATAATGGACAACATGAGGCCTGTTGTGTCAATTAGCGTGATTTAAAAAGAGAATTATTTGAAAACTGCATATGTTCATAAACTTGGCTGCCCTACATTGTAGTTAGGCCACTGTTACTACTGTGGAAGTTTGTTTTTACCACCTTCACAGCCCCCCTCACTCCTTTTTAGACTAAGCTCATGAAGGCAGGAAGTGCCAGCCTAGTGAGAATTTAGCTTAAAAAATTAACCACGTAAGGTTAACATTGTTTCATGTTTAGCTTTCTTTTTATATTTCTTGATATGAAGCAAACAGGTAGCTTCCCCTTTATCGCACCAACACTCACCACTCAACTTCAAGAGCAAATCGGTGCGGGGGGGCCGCAAGCCAGCTGTCTTGAGGGGTAAAATGCTCTTTTCCGGTCCTGGGTGTGAGAAGAAAACCACACAGTAAAGAAAATCTTCCTATAAACTCCAACTCGGTAAACCAGCGGTTGTCCCCTTGCTCGGTTTGGTTGCGTTATTAACCAAAAAAAGAAAAAAAATCCCGTTAAATCCACAAATTTTCTGCCAACACGTTGAGAGGAAAAAACAAACAGTGTCGTAGTCGCGCTCGTCCAGCTACACGCTTCAGCCATTGGTTGAGGTTTACGTCAACCAAGGCCTCCTGACGACGCTATTGGCTATAACTGTAGAAACACCCGCCCCTACCTCGCCATTCACGCGACTAAAGAAAATACATTACAGCTTTTTTTTATTTTCTTTCCACCATTGTTTTTGTAATTAACATTTCCTAATATTGAACGAACAAGCTCGCTGTATTTATAATATATATTCAATAATGTATAAAATAAAGAAATTACCTGTTTTCCACGTGTAATTCTGACTTTATGTTATTATGACTATATTTTAATAGATCCAGTCCTGTTTGTCCGTTTAAAATATCTTTATAAAACTGTTATGTTATATTTATCGCGATTTCGGCTGCACTCTCGGCAACAGCTCTCGTAAAAAGGTCATTGTTAATGTCAGTTACATTTTTTGCACCGTGTTGTAATCGTTACACTTTGAGACACCTCGCACAGGGCAAAGGTATCAGGGCCAACTCGGCCTTCCCAGTTCAACTCAGACTGCCTGCTGCGCACAGAGCTGAGAGTGAAGCAGAGTTTCAGTGTGCTCAGCGGGCTGTCCATTGACTGTGACACCCTCCTACGAAGGTCAGTGTATAGCTGATAGCTATATTTCTACATTGCACGGCTTAATTTATAAGATGTAACATATATATAAACATAGTGATATTGCACAGACGT